AAATTAACATATGTAAGGATTTTAGTTGACATTAAAATTTGTACGGTTCAATACAACTCAAACTTTATCGTAGCATACTTTTAGACGCCTTAAAAAGTAATTTGAAATCTGTGAATTTACTGTCTATAATTATTAATTATATTTAGATGGTTTTTAATTTTGACTTTCTAAATTGAATTCCTATGCTTGATAATCATAAACATTAAAATATATAATAAATTTAAAATGAAAAATATTTACAAGTTCGCATAGGCTGCACAGGCATAGTTTTAGTTAGATAACTTTGACTGCAGTTGGATAGCTTGGGGCAAGGAGCGATGCCCTTGGGGATCCCTGTGGCACCGATTTCCCCTTGGGGGACCTTCTCAAAAGGGGTAACACCAACTGGCTTCCTTTCTTGGGCCCCAAAATGTGTGTTACTTGTGCAACGCCCGAAAGTATGCAACGCATGTCAGGCACAGGAAACTGCATGCACTAGAAAGCATTTTGCACACAACTGTACTGGCTGTACGGCCATTTTGTTATTATTTTTAGCAGACGACAGCAAGCAAAATCAAACTAAAAAATGGAATTTTATGTATACGTATTATAAAATATGTATAGAGATTTATATAATAAAAAAACACTTTTACATAAACGCACATCCCCGCACAAATGCGTCGGTTTGTATGTCTAGACAAATGCGTATGTAGAAGTTTTGTAGTATCCTAAGGCCTATGCTGTTTGTGTGCGTATGTGTGAGTGCGTTTTTCTGCATCGTGCGCTCGTGTGAGTGTGTGTGTGTGTATCTGTGTGCTTGCATCACCTAACTTCATGGTGAAGTGCAACAAACTCTGCTCTACACAAAAACGCCGCCCAACAAAATGCAATCAAATGGCAAAAATTTTGCCAGACTGCAGGCTGGCAGCAACAACAAATGTTGTTGCAACAACTGCAACTGCAATCGCCCGTCTGCCACATGGGCAAGTGGGTGGCTGAGGGGGTGGTGGGTGGCAAAAGCGGTGGGGGGCGGTTGTGGGAGGGGGTGGTGCGACAGGCCAGACACTGGCCATAAAACAGCAAAAACAAACTGCATGTGAAACATTTTAGTTGCATTTTCTATATGGAATATGCGGACTAGAGTGGACCTTGCTTGGGCACTAAATATAAAGTCAGCAATTCAACCAACTTCCTTCATAATCTATACATACATTAATACATTAATAAACTATATTTTTTAAAACGGGAAAATAAGAGGAGGTGGTCTTTTCTAATTTAATTTGTTTTTTTTTGTCTTACATTAAAATCTATATTTTTAAAAACGGAGAAGTAATAAGAGGAGATCTTTTCTAAATGAATTTTTATTTTTTGACCAATACAAGTCTACATATTTAGTATTTAAAGATGTTAAGAGGCCATACTCTAAGTTCAGAACATAAAATGAAATCCGAATCAATAAAGGGGAAATTTTATGGATCATAGCATGGCACGCATGTCGTATACGCAATGGTTGTAAGCATTCACTGCACAGGTTGATAACTTTCTAACTTGGCCTTTTTAAGGTCCACCCTCTTTACACATAACTGAAAACGTTCGAAACGAGCGTGTGTGGGTGCATAATCCATGTGCATATATAAATGTACAAAATCAACCCTTAGCTTTTGACTAGCCGCTCAAAAAAACAGCCTCTGTATGCGTACGTATGTGCATAAAATAAATTTCATTTAAATTAAAATAAATAAAACTCGTCCCCAAACCGGCGCGTCGGCCCAAAAACAAGAACTTAGACAAAGCGCAGACACATCCATAAAATCCCACACCCCAAAAAACTGCCAATTCCCTGAAACGGACAGCAGATGAAGCTGTCTGGACATCGAAGAAAAAGCTTTCATTAGGCCGACTGCAGTCTATGCATTTTAATTGATTGCCAGCCGTCTTTGTCGGCTTTATTTTTGCCAAAATTCCATTAATCTCCTTCAATATTCGGACATTGCTCCTAATGTCATTAGGTGCCGAGTCTTTCTGCACGAACAAGATGCTGAATTGAGTTTCTCAAAGGAATCAAAAAACTGATTAGGACATCGTTTACTCGGTGTACAGTTCTGAGAAGCGCATGCTATATTTAATTAAATATTATCTGTCTATACTAAAGTCCCAGTCCCAATCGCTGATAAAATGTATATTTTATAACACTGTTTGACGCAACTAATTTTGACAAAAAATCAATGTGGTAGTAGTTATAGTATTAAATAAGATCAATTAGCAAAGCCTTTGATTTTAATAAGTTAGTTGTAATGAACCGTCCGATTTTATGAGAAATCGTTATCGATTGATAGATTAATTAAGATGTCTTTAAATCATAATAATACACAATCCCTCTTTTCTTTGTAAAAACAATGGTATAAATTCTGGGACTCCTAAAAAATTAAAAAAAAAAAATCTATCTTTGAGTTATAAGTGTAATCTACTGACTAACAAAATAGCTTTACTTTTTAACTTGCTTTAGTGAAACAAAAATGCTTGAAATTTATTTGATTATAACTATAAATATTGAAAATTTCGGATAATATGTTGTAGCTAACATCAGTTTACTTGTTCCAAATATGAAACATTTTTGAGAACAACTTATATCAATTATTTTAATAGATCTGTTTTTTAATAAGTGCCTGGTTTTACAATTAATTGAAGAAGTATTTACTCAAGTGCTTTAAATGACAGTCCTCATAGGTCCCAATTATTTTAATAGATCTGTTATTTAATAAGTGCTTGGTTTTACAATTAATTGAAGAAGTATTTACTCAAGTGCTTTAAATGACAGTCCTCAAAGGTCCCCCATTAGTGAACCATTAACCTGTGCGCCGCGAAGTAAAAAGTCGGAACAGCATCTGCATCGCCACAATCCGCATTTCGCCGCAAGATATGGGGCTCCAGTGGTTTGGGACTCGGTGGGGCCACCACCACAGCCCACGAGAAACAGGCCACGAAGACGGAGGCAGACATTAACCAAACAGGCGGTGGCGGAGGAGGTGGCAGCGGTGGTGGCCAAAAGGGAACACGTCCACGTCCTCGACCTAGTTCAATGGCAATGTCATTGTGCCACATTATCGCCGGCGACGACGTCCTCTGCTCTGCTCTGCTGGCTTGGCCTTGGCTGGGCCGGAGTCGAGTTGTGAAGCTGCAGGGAAACGAGAACGAGCGCATGAGTCGAGGCCACGGCCACGGCCACGAACATGGCCAAAGTGGCACACGGCAGGCAGCACACCAAACCACTGCAGTCCCCCATCCACATCCACATCCACATCCACCCGCCCATTCACATCCACATCCACATCCGCATCCACATCCACCCATCCATCCTGCGAAAACGAGACACAACAGCAACAGCGATGCTGCAACGATGCAGGCACAGAAACCGAATCGGAAACGGAAGGAGGAGCAGGAAGCAGGAACAGCAGCACACTGGTAAAAATATTAGGGCACTTTAAGTCACATTGGATCTGAGGTCCCTTAATAGCTAACCCAAAGCTAGAGTTTAACAAGCAGTTTCCTCTTTAAAAGCAAAATATTCTAGTCTAATATACCAAGTTCATAAAGAATTTACAAAAAATGTTAAAAGGGTCATATACGGATAATCAAATCTTAAAAACTTATCCATTTTAATAAAAGAAACATTTCCTACCTCACATGAAATATTATTTAAGCAGTTGCCTCAGCCAGAAAATTAAACTCCATTTTTTTCTTGTGATATAAGAAACTCCATTATTAAGTTAAGGTCAATGTATAAAAGCAAGGCATTTATTTCCCTAAGTTCCCTAAGTCTACTAGTAAAACTGGTAGTTCTTATATTTTAATTTTTCAGATAATTTTGATAGAAATTAGTTAAGATTATTACATACATTTATTTAAAATAATTTCGAATTCTCTGTGACTCTTGATTACTTCAGTTTTGTATTATAAACTAATTATCCATCTTAACATCTTTCTTCAAGGTTTAATAATATTTACTGTTTTAGGGAAATAGTTATAAACAAGTTTCTCATTTAACCCAAAAAACCCAATATCCCAACTATCAATTCTGTTTTAATTTCAATACATTTTTCTGAGTGCCGGAGCAGGCGGTGGCGACAATATCCTTGCACTTGTGCAGGCCGCGAGGCGAACGGCGGGAGTGGGCGTCGGTAGAGGTGTGGGTGGTTGGGTGGGTGGGGCACAGGACTCACAGCCACACCGCTAAGCCCGGCAACCAATCCGCCGCCAGCAGAGCAGCCTTGCCGCATCTCAGCCCCGTTTATTGTTGCAGTTGCAAGGACCTTCCTGTAGGCACGACCCTCACCTCTCCGGTGGCTCTCTGGGGTGGGGCGTGAGTCCTGGGTGTTTGTCCTGCACTCCAAGCTCCAAGTTGCAGTGGTGGAGCAGACACTCCCCGAGCCATCATACCACTCATTCTCATCCGATTTCTGCTGAACTCGGACTCCCTCCCCAAATTTTCCATGTTCTCTCTCTATAGATATATATATTTGTGTTCCGTGCTCACTGGTGCTCGCTCTATCTCCCTTTTTCGTCAGTCTATTCCTGTGGGTTTATATCACAGCATCCTGTTAATAACAGGGGAGACTTACGTAAAGTTTGTGTAGAGCCAGAGAACAATGTAAAATAAAGGAGAGTTGAAACTGCTTTTAAAGGCCATCCAACGATTATAACGGCTAAAAGATTTAAAGATATATCTTTTCAACATAACTTTAAAAATTCAACTTTAAATAAACGTATTTTATTATTATTCAACTTTTTTTAGGTCAAAATAACTAGCCTACTTTGTATTTGCTTGTTATCTCCAGTAATTTTGGCATTGTAAAATACCGACGTCATAATTTATTATTTATTATTTCAATATTTAAACAACTGTTCTGTGGTAGGCATAGTTCTTGGCCAATAACTGTTTGCTTAGCCTTGTTAGATAGACCCAAAGATGTAGATCAAATGGTATTATGCGTAAAGTTCTCACGCTAATGCGGATAAGCCCAGTTTTATTAGATAAATTAATCCCTCGTGCATTCAAATGGTATAAAAAGTGTGAGGATCTAGACAAAACAGCATCAGTTGATCATATCCAACTACCAATCGTCAGCATGAAGTGCTCCTGTGCGCTGCTCCTTTTGGCCATCCTGGGATGCTGCCTGGTGAGCCTGTCGAGAGCTGCCTCAACCACAGCCACAACCGAAGCCTCCACCGCCACCACCACCACCACAGCCGCGTCCTCGGCCACCACCACAACCACAGCCGCGTCCACGACCACCACAACCACCGCAAGCACCACAACCACCACCACAGCTGCTTCCTCCGGCAAAAAGAAGCACGTGACCCACTACAAGCGCAAGACCCGCCGACCCAAGAAGGTCAGGAAGATCCACCGCAAGAAGAAGCGCAGCGGTTAAACAGCTTTTTATTCCCTCCAATCCGACTCCATTTGTTTTGAGCTCCAACTTCTTAAATTCTTCTCCTGTTATAGTTTAATTCTCAATAAAATTCCCTACACCTCATTCCGCTGGCTTTAGCAAATTGATGTTTTCTAAATGTTTCCTTGGGTTTTTCACAATATTTTTATCTATTGCGGTTTATATCCTCTTTCATTATATGGGTAAATTAAATTTAAAGACTTTAAGTATTGCTTTATTTTGCAAACTTTCGGTTGGGTACTATAGTAGTATGACCAACTAGAGGTCAAGTGTCAGATCAAACACGCGAAATTTCAACTAGATGAACTATCCATCTTTATACACCTTCAAATCGAATTCGACACTTGACTTCGAGTTACATTAACAACTCTATAACCATTTTGGTTAAACTGATGATTTTAAAATCCGTTTTTAATAAAAAAAATCCTTTTTTAATGACGTAATATGACTATCATCGGTTTTAATATTATTTCTCCACGAACTTTCGTCTAAGTGATGCCTGGTGGTGCTGTTCCTGGGATGATGAGGATATGCGCGGCACAGGGTACTATAATTTTGGTCAGTGGCTTGTAACTCAGTGAAGGATACGTTTCCGACCTATAACGTAAATATAATCTGATCAGCTCCACTAGGCGAGTCGATATAGATTTGACCGTCCGATTCAAAAGCTAGCGATTTGTGCGCGCAGATCCAGTTTGAAAAACGCCCCGATCGGACGAGCATATCTTATAGCTCCCATGGGATCAAGCCGACCCTGTAGCTACCATAGGAGCCATGGGGTGAAATAGGTACAAAATTGATGTTTTACAATATATCTGCCTGTAGTATATTTCCTAGATAAATGCGTAATATCTTATAAGTATATAACTTTGGCTTTCCGAAGTTAACTTCCGCTCACGTATTTAGTTAACTTGAAGTTCTGATATATTAAATATAATCAAAAACAAGGAAGAACGCTATAGTCGAGTACCTCGACTATCAGATACCCGTTACTCAGCTAAATAGAGATATGCAAGCAGCAAAGCGAGATTAAAATGCGCCACCTACCGGCGGTATACAGATTTAAGCGTTATGGGCGTTAGAGTGGGCGTGGCAAATTTTTTTTGGATCAATCGATAGGTATTTACGAGACCAACACATTTCAGTTAAAATTTTTTATCTAGCATGAAAATTGTGGGCGTCACAAGTTTTTGCGGTTTGTGGGCGTTAAAGTGGGCGTGGCAAACTTTTTTTTGGGTCAATCGATAGGTATTGATGAGAACATTACATTTCAGCTAAAATTTTTATTCTAGCATCAAAACTGTAGGAGCCACAGTTTTGGGCGGTTTGTGGGCGTTAGAGTGGGCGTGGCACTCTACTGAAACAAACTTGCGCTGCGTAAAAAGCTCAGGAATCTGCACGCCAAATCTCAATAGCCTAGCTCTCATAGTTTCCGAGATCTCAGCGTTCATCCGGACGGACAGACAGACGGACAGACGGACAGACGGACATGGCTAGATCGACTCGGCTAGTGATCCTGATCAAGAATATATATACTTTATGGGGTCGGAAACGCTTCCTTCTGCCTGTTACATACTTTCCGACGAATCTAGTATACCCTTTTACTCTACGAGTAACGGGTATAACTATGAAGCTAAAATTGATCTTTTTTTCGATTATGCCTGTGGGGTCCATAAGATATAGAGCTCTGATCCATCACGTTCTGCAATTAAAATACTCTATGCAAAAGAAAAAACGCTAAAGTAGACGGCCTCGACTATCAGATACCCGTTGCTCAGCCAACAAAATAGCGCCACCTATCGTACATCGCTGACGGCTATTTACGAAACTTAAGCTGCGCAGGAAGCCCAAGAATCTGCACGCTTTATCCCAACATTCTAGCTCTTATAGTTTCCGAGATCTCAGCTATCATACGGACGGACAGACGGACATGGCTTGATCGACTCAGCTAGTGATCCTGATCGAGAACATGTATACTTTATGGGGTCGGAAACGCTTCCTCCAAGTATACCCTTTTACTCTACGAGTAACGGTAAATAGACGTTTATGTGTACCAACATCATTCTCGCCCTAATAAGCACATTTATCTTCGTGCTCGTATAATGGGTCATTATATCAATTTTACCGTGCTGTATTTGTCACGTTTGTTCCCAGTGATATAATATAATTAAAAAGCGCGTGTATGAACATAACACGCTGAAAGTCGAAGCAGTGTCAACATGATTCCAGCTAAATTGAAGTTCGCCAAATATCTTTAAAGTTTGCACAGCTGTTTTGTGGTAGGCTCAGTATTATGCACATTTTTATTTGAGTAGCCTGGTTTTCAAGATAGGCTCGAAGATGTGGATCAGATGGTATTATGCGTACGGTTCTCACGCTAATGCGGATAAACCCAGATCCGTCAGATGTTTGCTTTTCTACCTTACAAAATAGGTATAAAAGGAGTGGTGGTCCAGCCAGAACAGCATCAGTTGATCATATCCAACTACCAATCATCAACATGAAGTACTCCTGTGCACTGCTCCTTTTGGCCATCCTGGGATGCTGCCTGGTGAGGCTGTCGAGTGCTGCCACAGGCACAACCACTACTACTACTACGGATGCCTCCACCTCCACCACCACCACCACAGCCGCGTCCACCACTACCACTACCGACTCCTCGAACACCACAACCACCACCACAGATGCTTCCTCCGGCAAAAAGAAGCACGTGATCCACTATAAGCGCAAGACCCACCTGCCCAAGAAGATCAAGAAGATCCACCGCAAGAGGAGGAGCAGCGATTAATCGCCTCTTAACTCCCTTCAATCCGGTTCCAGTTGCTTCGAACTCTGACTTCCTTCATTTCTCTCATGAATATTATAGTTTTAAATTTAGACCTATTATCGTTAATCAAAACATAAAATAAAAATATATTTGTTATTTATAATGAAATAATTAAAAAAGCAACTTTATTTCAAGAAAAGAGTCCTGTAACAAACATTATTTGAGAGTCAAGATCATCGGTCATAGCACATCCAATACCATTATTTGGAGTAAAAAATTTGAAATCTGTTTATTTCTCTAAAACTAAATTATTTAATTGGCGGGATTAAATTAAAATTTTCTATAGCTCGAGAAATACATTTATACATATCTTTTATAAAAACTTTTCCGATTCCTGCAAGTCAACTATATTTAAAGCAAATAATTTTTGAAAGAATTGATTCTTATGCATGATACGTGAAGATAATAAGCACATTTTTAAGAAAAGCTGTATTTCATAATTATTCTGTTTGTTTATGGGCTCTGCTTGTAAATCGGCAATGCAAACAAAGAAAGAAAAACAAATTTTAATGACTCAAGAGGCTCAAAACGTAAGGATAAAAAGTTTCCACGCGTAAAAAAATGGTAAGAGAAAATATAGTTTTTGATTTTTAAAAGCTGTTGACAACTAAAGATTTTTAAATTCTGCAGTGACTTTAAAATTTAAAATGTGAATATCTTCGTTTGCGCCCAAGGGGGAAAATACATATTGATTAATAAATTTATTGTGTGTTTTATTATTTTTTAACCAACATGGGATTGTGCATGGATTTCACGTCTTGGCACCGGGAATTCATAGTTCTTATATAATTTAAATCATTTGTTATTTTTGTATCGTTTTAAAATAACGGCCGTGCGAATTTTGTTGTCAACCAAAAATTTAAAAAAGTAGTTCAGCTGCGGACCGAGATCTGGACGCTGTGTAGATCCGATTTTTAGAAACTAAGTTTTTTTCGTAGAAAAATATTGTTGAAACTGTCTGAATCTACAAAATTGACAAAAGCTAAAAAAAATATCGATGTCAAAAAAACCTATACATTTTAAAATACATCACTTACTGCAAATATAAAAAAGAAAATAAACGATTGCAATAAAGAGATTTGAAACCAAAAAACCTTCATAATCATCGTATTTTTTGGGTATTTTCATTAATAAATGGCCATACTTTCATAATACAGTGGAACCATAGCATATTTCATTTGTTTTGTTGAAGAAATTTCCCTGAAAACGGAAAAAATTTACCTTTTTTAACTTTTAGCTACTATTAAAGGCATTTTTATGTTTAATTATTTCGCACTTTTTCTACCAAATATCTTTATTGCTATCTAATAAACAGATAAAAATCCAAAAAGGGCGAAAAAATGTTCAATTAACTGTTAAAAAAACAACATGGAAAAGTCGTACGTTCATTGACTTGTAAGAATTGGAAAAGTTTTTATAAAAGATATATCTTTTTTGGGTGTAAATGTATTTCTCGAGCTATAGAAAATTTTAATTTAATCCCGCCAATTAAATAATTTAGTTTTAGAGAAATAAACAGATTTCAAATTTTTTACTCCAAATAATGGTATTGGATGTGCTATGACCGATGATCTTGACTCTCAAATAATGTTTGTTACAGGACTCTTTTCTTGAAATAAAGTTGCTTTTTTAATTATTTCATTATAAATAACAAATATATTTTTATTTTATGTTTTGATTAACGATAATAGGTCTAAATTTAAAACTATAATATTCATGAGAGAAATGAAGGAAGTCAGAGTTCGAAGCAACTGGAACCGGATTGAAGGGAGTTAAGAGGCGATTAATCGCTGCTCCTCCTCTTGCGGTGGATCTTCTTGATCTTCTTGGGCAGGTGGGTCTTGCGCTTATAGTGGATCACGTGCTTCTTTTTGCCGGAGGAAGCATCTGTGGTGGTGGTTGTGGTGTTCGAGGAGTCGGTAGTGGTAGTGGTGGACGCGGCTGTGGTGGTGGTGGTGGAGGTGGAGGCATCCGTAGTAGTAGTAGTGGTTGTGCCTGTGGCAGCACTCGACAGCCTCACCAGGCAGCATCCCAGGATGGCCAAAAGGAGCAGTGCACAGGAGTACTTCATGTTGATGATTGGTAGTTGGATATGATCAACTGATGCTGTTCTGGCTGGACCACCACTCCTTTTATACCTATTTTGTAAGGTAGAAAAGCAAACATCTGACGGATCTGGGTTTATCCGCATTAGCGTGAGAACCGTACGCATAATACCATCTGATCCACATCTTCGAGCCTATCTTGAAAACCAGGCTACTCAAATAAAAATGTGCATAATACTGAGCCTACCACAAAACAGCTGTGCAAACTTTAAAGATATTTGGCGAACTTCAATTTAGCTGGAATCATGTTGACACTGCTTCGACTTTCAGCGTGTTATGTTCATACACGCGCTTTTTAATTATATTATATCACCGGAACAAACGTGACAAATACAGCACGGTAAAATTGATATAATGACCCATTATACGAGCACGAAGATAAATGTCCTTATTAGGGCCATTATGATGTTGGTACACATAAACGTCTATTTACCGTTACTCGTAGAGTAAAAGGGTATACTTAAAGGAAGCGTTTCCGACCCCATAAAGTATACATGTTCTTGATCAGGATCACTAGCCGAGTCGATCAAGCCATGTCCGTCTGTCCGTCCGTATGATAGCTGAGATCTCGGAAACTATAAGAGCTAGAATGTTGGGATAAAGCGTGCAGATTCTTGGGTTTCCTGCGCAGCTTAAGTTTGTTTCAGCAGGGTACCACAAACGCCCATAACGCTAAAACCCGTTTAGCGCCTACATTTTTAAATATTTGGTTAACATTTATATGCGGTTTTTTCTTGTAATTCAAACCGGACCGTTCATTAAAAAGTTATAACTAAACAATAATAAACAATCAGCAAATTCAATAGAGTGCGAGAGGGATGGACATATATTCATACAGCAAATCGTTTGCTTACGAAATTTCACAAGCGCCACCTAGGTTTCACATTATGTGACGTGTTTTTGTTGGCTGAATAACGGGTATCTGATAGTCTCTTGTTTTCTCTTTATAGGGTATTTTCTATTGCCGAACGTAAAGGATCAGAACACTATATCTAAGGGATCCCATAGGCATAATCGAAAAAATGATAAATATTTGCTTCATAGTTATACCCGTTACTCGCAGATTAAAAGGGTATACTAGATTCGTCGGAAAGTATGTAACAGGCAGAAGGAAGCGTTTCCGACCCCACAAAGTATATATATTCTTGATCAGGATCACTAGCCGAGTCGATCCAGCCATGTCCGTCTGTCCGTCTGTCCGTATGAACGCTGTGATCTCGTAAAGTATACAAGCTACAATACTGGGATTAGGCATGCAGATTCCTGAGATTCCCGCGCAGCGCAAGTTTCAGCAGAGTGCCACGCCCACTCTAACGCCCACAAACCGCCCAAAACTGTGGCTCCTACAGTTTTGATGCTAGATAAAAAGTTTTAACTGAAATGTATTGGTCTCGTCAATACCTATCGATTGATCCAAAAAACCACGCCCACTCTAACGCCCATAACGCTTAAATCTGTCTACCACCGGTAGGTGGCGCATTTCAATCTCGCTTTGCTGCTTGAGTATCTCCATTTCACTTTGGTTCCTTTAGCTGAGTAACGGGTATCTGATAGTCGAGGTACTCGACTATAGCGTTCTTCCTTGTTGATTATATTTAAATACATCAGAATTTCGAATTAACTAAATACGTGAGCGGAAGTTAGCTTCGGAAAGCTAAAGTTATATACTCATAAAATATTACACATTTATCTAGGAATATACTATAGGCAAATATCTTGTAAAACATCAATTTTGTACCTATTTCACCCCATGGCTCCTATGGTAGCCACAGGACCGGCCAGATCTGATGGGAGCTATAAGATATGGTCGTCCGATCGGGGCGTTTTTCAAACTGGATCTGCGTGCACAAATCACTAGCTTTTAATATGAGCGCACAAACGATATGTAATCAGACGGACAAATCTATATCGACTCGCCTTGTGAAGCTGATCAAGAATATATTTACGTTATAGGTCAGAAACGTATACTTCACTGAGTAACAAACCACTGACCAAAATTACAGTACCTTCTACAGGGATATGCCGCGCATATCTACATCATCCCAGGAACAATACCACCAGGCATCACTTAGGCGAAAGTTCGTGGAGAAATAATATTAAATCATCAGTTTAACCAAAATAGTTATAGAGTTGTTAATGCAACTCGAGGTCAAGTGTCGAATTCGATTTGAAGGTTTATAAAGATGGATAGTTCATCTAGTTGAAATGTCGCATCTTTGATTTTCTTTAAGTCGAATTTGACACTTGACCTCTAGTTAGTCATACTACTATAGTACCCAATCGAAAAGTTGCAAAATAAAGCAAAACTTAAAGTTGTTAAATTTAATTTACTCATATAATTAAAGGAGATATAAATCGCAATAGATACAAATATTGCGAAAAACCCAAAGAAACATTTAGAAAACATCAATTTGCCAAGGCCAGCGGAGTAAGGGGTAGGGAATTTTATTGAGAATTCAACCATAACAAGAGAAGAATTTAAGAAGTTGGAGTTCAAAACAAATGGAGTCGGATTGGAGGGAATAAAAAGCTGTTCAACCGCTGCGCTTCTTCTTGCGGTGGATCTTCCTGACCTTCTTGGGTCGGCGGGTCTTGCGCTTGTAGTGGGTCACGTGCTTCTTTTTGCCGGAGGAAGCAGCTGTGGTGGTGGTTGTGGTGCTTGCGGTGGTTGTGGTGGTCGTGGACGCGGCTGTGGTTGTGGTGGTGGCCGAGGACGCGGCTGTGGTGGTGGTGGTGGCGGTGGAGGCTTCGGTTGTGGCTGTGGTTGAGGCAGCTCTCGACAGGCTCACCAGGCAGCATCCCAGGATGGCCAAAAGGAGCAGCGCACAGGAGTACTTCATGTTGATGATTGGAAGTTGGATATGATCAACTGATGCTGTTCTGGCTGGACCACCACACTTTTTATACCAATTTTTTTAGGTAGAAAAGCAAACATCGGACGGATTTGGGTTTATCTCCATTATCGTGAGAACCGTACGCTTCATACAATCTGACCCACATCCTCGAGCCTATCTTGAAAACCAGGCTACTCAAATAAAAATTTGCAAAATACTGAGCCTACCACAGAACAGCTGTGCAAACTTTAAAGATATTTTGAGAACTTTAATTTAGCTGGAATCATGTTGACACTGCTTCGAGTTTCAGCTGGTTATATTTATACACGCACTTTTTAATTATATTAGAACACTGGGAACAAACGTGACAAATACAGCACGGTAAAAATAGATATAATGCTCTATTATACAAGCACGAAGATAAATGTGCGTTTCAGGTCTAGAATTTAACTCGTTCATTGTATTTTAATCTATTTTTTTTTTGTTAATTATACAATATATAATAAGAATAATAATAATAATGATAACAATAATAATATATCATAACTTTGTTTTTACTTTAATAAGTATTGACTTTATAAAATTAAATCTTTAATCAAAACAAGGTTTTGTCTTGTAAGCCATGGCTAAAAAATAAGATAAATAAATACCATACGTCTACGTATAAGATTATGAATCGTTTCACAAACATTTTGGTATACAATGTGGGAAGAAAACGCACCAACTTCTGTGAATCTGATTGTTTTGTAGAACCAGTTTTAAACAGTTTACCTAACCCACAGAATTTAGACTACAATGCGGCAACTAATGTCATAAGTTCGATGCAAGGCAATAAAGTTTAAATTCAACAGTTTCGAGACTCGCTGAAATGAAGCAGAGAATAAGGCCAATAGGTCATGGGAGAACTCCCGTCTTTGGTCCATCGTCTACAGAATAGGTCGTAAACCACGAGAACAGGTTCCCACCTCTCCACCTGTGACGCGTGCTTAATACGGTATCCATAAGTACAAGATACTTTTTCACGTATGTATGTACGTATATACCTACTTAGCTGCTAAATACCAAGCAACATCTTTTTACATCGCCAATAAATGGTGTTTAATTGTGCTGTTGTGGTTCTCTGTTTTTGCAGAATCCGTTTGGCGACATTCAAGGTAGAGAGAAAGGAAGACCAGACGAGAGAGCGAGATCGGGAGAGATCTATTTGCATGCACATCCAGTGTTGCAGGTTTAGGTTATAATCCGTCAAAAAAAGCTAGAATCATACGTACTAAATATTTTATTAATAAGCTAAGAAGATATACCCAAAGAAAGAGTTAACGTTTAATACTGATTGTTTAAAAAGTATTGAAGTTTAAGTATAGATTCAAGACATGGTAATATAAAGTCTATACTTTATAGATTTATTTCTATATTTAAGTGTCTTGCATTTGGATTTATTGTAATATTTGTAAACCAATTAATATAAATATAATACTTTGGGAAGTATTTATATAATTCTTATTTTATCGACACCAAACCGTTATTCAATAGAGTAGAATTACATGCATTCCTTAAAATGTAGATACTTTTAAGGTGATTATGAACCTTGTTGGATTTATACAAATGTACATCTTCTGAATTTTCTGCATTTATTCCCCTGGAGTTTTATTTAAGTTAAGATTGCACTTTTTAGTAAAACTGCAATCTTACCATCATTTATATTAAAGGAGATAGTTTCTTTGTATTATTGGCAACAACATTTTAATTCAGCTATTTGTTTAAGTTAAGGCATCACTGAGAGCTGCTCACAAAACGGGAAATGGGTTAAGAACCAAGCAGAGAAAGACGAAAGAGACAGGGCCCCAGCAGCCGAACCGCATTCCATGCGCAGACAGCGCAGTCGCACAGTGGCTCGTTTTAAAGAAGTTCGTTGCCAAACTCAAAGTTTACGTTTTTCAATTTATTGAAAAATCTGCGTGCTTTCGATTTTGCTTTTTCCCAATATGTTTTAATTTCGCCCGGAGATCGTCTTCAGGGAATTTGTAAGCAAATCAAAGCGCACGACGTCCGATCTGTCCGCTGTGAAGTTCTAAATTGCACATTTTTATATACTCATTAAATAATCCTTTTCCAACTTAAAATATATTCTTAAATGTATGCATTTAAAAAGGTAATCTCCCGAGAAAAGGAAATAGAGCTGAAAAAAATAAACATTAATCTATATTTCTGTGGATCTGATAATACAATTATTAATATTCATTCACTTGTAGCTTCCTACGCATTAAAGGGTAGATATTTAAGTTCACAAAATATGTGAAAACTATAAAATCCAATTGGGAAACTAAGAATATATTTTTTATTTTAAATTTAAACAGCTAAAATTTTTGCAGCGTGTCTAGCGAAATCGGCCCACTGTGCGCCGAGGGCAGCGGCGGCGGCTGCGGCTGCGCAGAAGAAAGAGAGCCATCGCGGATCCGTTTCCAGTCGCCCATTCAGATTCAGTCATTCAGTCGTGAGATCTTTTCCGTGCAGGTTGCGATTTTGGCCAAGAAGTGTTTGGCCGCATAAACTGTTACTTCACTTCCGTGAGTGTGTGTGCTTGTGTTTGTGGGAAGATTTCGGTAACGAAACTTTCTTCAACAGCTGGCCATCGTTTGTATGCAAATGCAAATCACTTGAGAAGGCGGCAAGAAGAAGAGCGAGCCAGCGAGACAAGTGGAGTGTAGAAAGTGCAAAACAGGTTTTTGTTTTTGTGGGCAGGCAAACGTGGCAAAATAGGAAGTTAACAAAAATACAAAGTGATAGTGATAGCTCGATTATCTCACTATTGACGAATGCTAATTGATCAGTGAAAGTGGGATTCGAAAAACAATGCGAGGAAGAAATGCCCGCTAAAAGCGATGAGCAAATCGCACGCTGAAAAAGAGAAACACAAACAAAAACGAGGAAACCGCTATGTCTGCCACCTACACCAACACAATTACACAGCGCCGCAAGACGGCCAAAGTGAGCAAGCAACAACAACAGCAGCAGCAGCAGCAGCAGCAACAGCAACAATGGGCGGCCAGCGATTTCAGCGGCGAGTCAAACGAAAGACTTCACTTTCGCAGCCGTTCGACAAACTCGAAGGCAACAACAACACCAGCCACGGCCCACAACTCACCTTCACCACTGTGCTGTAACGGTGCTCGTGCTCTAACCATGCTCAATTGCTGCGTCGACGCCAATTGCCATTTGAATGCGCCGCTGCGCGGCAGCGTCAGCCAGCACACGACGCCGACGCCGACGCCAACTGCGACGCCCACGCCAGCAGCGACGCCAAAGCAAGCCTCCCCCTCGCCTACCTCCGATCGTTCGCGCTCCCTCTCACCTTCGCCCTCGCCGTCGCGCTCTCGTTCGCTCTCCTGCCACAAACAACAACAGAGGCACCAGAGCAGCGCAGCAGCCGCCGCATTTGGAGCAGAGGAGAGAGAAACAGCTAACTCGAATTCGCCGCCATTTACCGTTAGCCTGAGCATCGATCTCTTCAGCTGGACCCTGTTTCTCTTGGCCTTCGGCACGCGTTTCTACAAGCTGGCAACGCCGCCGCATATCGTGTGAGTAGAAAAACAATAACAAACAGGGAAGTGGAGAAAGGGGTCACTATTGAAGGAAAGAGCAGTTCAATATTTATCAAAAATTAAAACAAGTAAAAGTTAGAGATCTAGTTTGAAAAAACATTTTATGTTTAATGACTTTTCTACATAAAGTATTTATTTTTAGAGAATAAGGCAAACAAGTTTCTCTTTTAAAATCACTTTTCAAATCATTGTACCAACTTCGACTAATTTATTCAAAATGAATGCCGAAATTTATTCATAAATTCATACATGGATCTGGAAAAGTTTTGGAGGCTTTCCAAAGAATAGCTAAGTTTAAAAGCAATGTTTCTTTTTTATTATTATGGTATGCATTCAATAATAATGAATAATACATGATATTGTATAGGGATATCTTCGCAAGAGTTACAATTACTTTTTTATTATTATGGATTCAATAATAATGAGTAATACATGGTATTGTACAGGAATATCTTCGCAAGAGTTACAATTTGAATAGTAATTAGTAAAGCACGGTACCATAAAAAATAATGAAAGATTTATTACGACCACCAATTTTACAATAGTTTTTTTTTGATCTTGCACTTCAGAACGAACTGTTCCCAGAAACATTAGAAACGATATGCTATTGATATTGATCTTTACAAGTTAAGCATGCATTTTATGATTTAGGATAGGAATTATGATTTTTATGAATTATGGTTAGGAAGTGTTTGTTGAAAAGTACCCCTTTGTTGCAATACGACTCTTAGAACAACTTTTTATGATAGATTAAAAACCAATTTCTTATTTCTACAGGTTCGATGAACTGCACTACGGCAAGTACATCTCGATGTACATGCGCAATATCTTCTTCTTCGACCAGCATCCGCCGCTGGGCAAACAGCTCATCGCCGGGCTGGTCAGCCTGGCTGGCTACAGTGGCAACTACACTTTTACCCGGATTGGAGAGCCCTATGCGCCGGACATGCCCATCTTCTGGTTCCGGTTTGTCCCGGCCATGTGCGGAAGTCTCCTGGCCCCAGCCGTTTACAAGCTGCTGCTGGAGGCGAAGCTGAGTCGCTGGTCCTCGGCTCTGGGCGGTCTTCTCGTGGTCCTGGACAACTCCCTGCTGACCCAATCCCGTTTCGTGCTCATGGAATCGATGCTGCTGCTGACCACCACGGTGGGCATCGCCTGTCTGCTTCGCTTCCAACGGTGTCGCCTGGGCAGCTTCCAGTGGCTGGTCAGTGGAGCTGCGGCCGCCATCTTCCTGGGAGCCGCCGGAACCATCAAGTACATTGGATTCCTGTCGCTGGGACTTGCCTTCTATTTGCTATGTAGACACCTGTGGCAGCTGCTCTACGACGCGAGCCTGACTGGTATGGGTCCACTTTGTCAAAACATAAATTATATTCCTAGAGCAGCAATCTGTAGCTTCCTAACAAGCGGGCTTAAGGAACAACTCTGCTCTTTCTCTGCCGCCACACAAACAGTGTACAACAGCAGTCGGCATCAACACATCGATAACCTGCCCCTTGCAAACAAGTCACACAAATTAAAGACAAAATATAATTATATTCTGTGCCTATAGCTGTCCTAGAAGATCAGTAGTTACGTATACGTCCTGTTAATATTGCGTATACGTAGTGTGGTCATCGTATATCTATTCAATTTTAAAAGTTTTACTAGGTACCGAATTCTTTGTTCAAAAAAAGGTTAAAACATAAAAGACAAACATAAATTAAATGTTCTTGGC